CTGAATCAGTTTACAATTAGACAATTTTAACATACGCAATTTAGGGTTTGTCTGGACTGCATTATTTTCAAAACATGACTGAAAACATACTTGCATTACTGTATGACATAGGAGGTGTTGTGAGATCCGCGTAGCAGAATTTGCTACGATACATTTTTAGGGGCTTGCTCTCAAAGAAGAGCAAACCTAAAATGTCCAGGACTGTTGCTGTGGACATTTTCAGTTACAAACACAGAAAGGACATGCACACTAACGAAAATGGTGACACTAGAGGCTAAATTTCGAGTTTGTGCATTGAAGTGCCTTCTACACTGAAACAGACAAAACCTAAAATCATTTTGAAACCATAAGTGCTTTATAAGAAGGCACAGTAGGGGTTTTGGAACAAGTAGACCTCCTCCTCTTGCTAATGCCTCTAAATTGCATGTTTTCACATGGTTTCCTGACAACAGTCAATAGGCACAAGCTCCATGTTGCCATGGTTACAAATTTCACCCTTCTTTTGGCCATCGCAACTTCCCAAATGGACTTTTTCTCTAATACTAAGTATAAAAATATAGATGTTTGCTATACTGTTTTTAACCGATCCGCCATCTCTGTTTTTGCACGTCTTCTTGGGCTGCGCATATTGAGCCATGAGAAGGACGGGGGGCAGCTGGGTCCCCCAAAGAAGGAATGGTACAGGGGAGTCTGTTCAAAGGCGTCAGTGCAAGATGGACACTAAGAAATTTTAAAATTCACTGCATGGAAAACAAAACACATAGTTAGTGTCCCTGACTTTCATGGCCTGGTTTCTCTTGAGGTTTGGGGCCATGTGCTGGCTACTCGGTGTCTCAAGTTAGAAAACTGGGAATGCTGCTCTTCTTTTAAATGGGTCAACACCAGATGAAAGCCAGGCCCAGATGATCTCAGCAGTAAAAATCACGAGTCTTCAGCAAAACCAGGACTTCACTTCTAGCCTTGAGATTGGAGAAGGCTCAAGTTGTGAAATGTTAGTTCAAGCTAAGCATTATCCATTTAAAAAGTTGAACAATGTAGCCTTAATTTAATTCTCTGATGCAGTTCACAATCTCAGTGCCACTGCCAGATTTTTACAGGATGGCTACTCTTCTCTCGGGGTGTTACTCATGACTATGTTAAGAGGAAAAAGTAAGTTTACACAGGTGGAACAAGTTGCAAGCATTTCACAGCACTGGTCTCAATCCTGTTAGCTTAATTGGCCTAAGTAGTCCCACTGATTGTAGGACTGCTTTTGCGAATAAGGCGATTGGGATTTGGCCCGTAATATTCTATGGACAAGCAGCAGTTACAAGTCAAGTACATTATAACTGTAAGTAGTAGCTTGTGTGGGACCACTCCTGTAACAGTTGGACAAGATATCAGAACTGTCACTTGGGCTGGTACATTCCACCAAACCTTTGCCAATGTTCCACTATAAATAAAAAGGTAGTTTGACTTCCATCATCAAAACATTTGATTAAGTAATAGAGCATAAATACTTAAAGAAATTGACAGTCTTTTCTATAACAGGAATTAATTCAGAAAATCACCATTTGCATAAATCTCTAAGTCTCGTCTTCACAGATGTTGATTCTGTCAGCTAGTTGCATTTCAAATTAATTTTAAAATAAACAGTGGGAAGTATACCTTTCAGCTAAAAATAACTTGCTCCGAAGGAGATTGCTGGGTGCAAAGCACATACTCATTGTGCACTGACTTATTTTCTTAAAACTAACATTTTGTCATATACTGGACTTTAATGTTATAATTAAATGTTTAAATTATTTTGAAAGGCCATTTTATAGAACTATGTGCTTTATGGGCAACTGTTTAAAAAGATGGAAGATTAGATTTTTGTGGTGCTAAAAGAATGTATTTTCCACATTAATCTAGGGTTTGTGTTAATGACAGCATAGTGTTGGAGGTATCTCTATACCTTGAAGAATCAAATAAAATATATATTTTTGAAAAGCAACTAACGATGGTAATTTAGTATGATTCAGAAGAAAGGATACTGCACTGGTTCAATTATCCAGTCCCTCAGGTGTTTTTAAATCCAGCAGTGGGATGTATTACTTAATGTAGTGCCCACCTTATATTTCAGCAAGGAGTGTCGCACCAGTCAGGTATGACCACCACTGGCTCCAGAGATGCTCTGAGTGCAGGGAAACAGCAACTGCCTGGTGTAGCTTCACCTCCTGTCACGAAGGGAAGCTGCGAAGTGGTGCTGAGCACTAATGGGGTGGTTGTCTTCTTCACCCTCGAGCACCACTGGCAGCTGTTAAGGAGACTGAATTTCCTGGTTGTTTCATTCATGCTCCTCTGGCTACAGAAGGCTTCTCCTAGCTAAAGATCCCAAATGTTTCCTTATCTGCATGTTTTGCATGAGGAAGTATTTTGCAGAGCTAGGTAACTCTTGTTGGGGTTGGATTCTTTTACAGGACCCTCATCATGATTTTTTCTAAGGAAAGGAATCACTAGTAAGAGTTTGTAATTTTGCGCAATGTAAGGAGTCTGTGTGCATGGTTCTGAGCGGGCACTAATTCGAAGGGAGGATCTGGCCACAGATTGGCAGCATGCTAGTTGAGGCCAAGGTTTCTGGCAGGAATATAAATTAGAAGGCACTGTGCAAATTCCGGCCCTCGTATTTGTGCTCTCCTAACACATGACACAGCAAAGATTTTAACTGACAAAAAGAATTTACAGAAAAGTAGTTGCAAGCAGTTTTCTCTGCTGCTTCTAGTTTATGGTAGCCTCTGTTCTCTGTGGGACCTGTGTGTTCGAAGGAGAGGCTGAGACATTAAGTTTGGTTAGGATGTTGGTGATGTAGAAATTAAAATCTTGATTTTAACTTCATCTACTGATGTGTGTCGGATGCCTTGATGTGTTCCGTGCACACCTTAGCTTCACTTCTTGTGAGTGATTTGGACTTGTAGGATTAATCATCTCTGAGAATTTGATTAGTGTGATTTAATTCTGAAAAGCAACTGTAAAAATAGCTCTCAAACTCCATGGTCTTAGCCTCATAGTGTGTTTATGCTTCTGTTTGCTTCAGAGTGCCACAGAACTGGCACTGGCATAGGGTGGATGATCTACTTAAGGATATGGTTTAATGGGGATTAGGGACGGTTGGACTGGATGATCTCTAAGGTCTTTTCCAACCTAGAAATCTATGAAATCTGTGAAACTTAGCAGCAATAAGAAACCAAGACGGATTCTGGTGTGGGATTTTTTTGTTAGAGCCAGCAGGTGAATTTTTTACAAAGCCCTTAGCAGCTAAATGTTAGGGACCCCTCTAACAGGGTGAAAATGCACAGTTCTTCCTCTGAACATGATCTAGAGGCAACATGATCCCATTTTTGTACTTTAAAGTATGCACTAATTATAATGGACAGAGGAGAAAAAGCTTTGGTCCTAGGATCCTTATCAGTGGCCAATGAAAGAGGGCCAGACACTGAGCTCAAGCACTGGCTCCTGATACTGATACTGCTTAGTTGTTCACTTTCTTCCTGCTTCCAGCAAACTCTCCCTGAGACAATCCGTGGGGACAGACAGGGGAATAGTTCTCTCCAAATGGACATACCAAAAAGGCAGTGCCTTTTATGCAGTTCCTTGCCTAACAAGATGCACCAGATTACATTGTCCCTGCCTTACCGAGCCCTCCTACACCACCCCAGCAAGCTTTGCATTTACCAGCTCTCCTTTCAAATTTTAAGCATACAGCATATACTCTTGATTCCGTAACACACACATTGCGTGGCAAGCTATGCCACATCCTTCCTATTGTTTCAGATAGTTGGAACGAGCTCCTTGCCACCGAATACTAATGATGTGTTATGACCGTAGGGACATCACATAGGGCCATGAGGACATGCACGTGGACAGTCAGCTCTAGAGTAAATTGGCCTGTGCTGCAAGGTAGAAATCACAGCCTGGAGTGGACTCCTTTTAGGGTGTAAATGTAATCTTAAGGGTCCTGTTTGCATTGGGAGAAACTGCTTACAGAAGACACTGTTTTGTTTGAAAAACTGCAAATTTGATAAGGAGCCCAAGCGGAGTATTTGCCTGTAGTTAATATTAGTAATATAAACTTGAAGTCTCCCTTTAGTTTTGCCAGCAGCTTTAAAAATTAATTTTAAAAATTAATTAGAGCTCATTTTACTGTTTTTCAAGGACATAAATTTATATTTCTACATGTTTCCAGCTTTTCCAGCATGCATTTGGGCTTAGGGCAAGTTGATGTGAAGGGCTTTCCAGAAACTTTCTCAGGAGTGACAAGAAGAGTCCTGTTCTCTTTGTGCCAAGTGCATTACTGTGTTCATCTGCTGTTGCTGGGGGTGTCAGACACACTGAGCAGAGACATAATTTATCACTGTTTTAACATTTTGGATTTGAGGAATCCTAATATCTGAATGCTGTGTTGTTAATGTCTTCAGTTTCGAACACTTTTTTGTTACATATTTAAATTCAGTAAGCACTTCTCCTGTGAAGACAGGCCGAGAGAGTTCATATGTTCCTTTCACCAAAGAGAGTTGATTGAAATATTCCCGTTATTCTTAGTATTTTTGATAGCTACACCTGATCTAAAGGGATTTGAAAATGTTACAGGAACAGTTCTGCAAAGAATGCTATTTACAAAATGCATAGGGCAAGAATCTGACAGACTGAAAGAAGTGGAGTACTGGGACTTTGCCTTGTATTTGTTAGTCTCATCTGTGGGGTGCCTAGAATGCTTCTGCTATTAAGATAACATAAATGTATGGTCACATTTATTATATCTATATTTATAGAGAGGTCTATATTTATATTTATAGAGAGGTAACACAGAAGAATAAGCATATTCAAGAAATCACAATACAGTGTGACATTCAAAACAATGATCTCTGATGCTCAGGATATTTCTCCTATTTTGTCAGCCCTGGAGGAAACCAAAAAGCTCTTCATATGGGATAATGGAGCTAGGACTATGTTTACAAGTTGCAGATTACAGTTCAGTCAAAGGTTAAGCTTTTTACTTCTCCTGTAGCTTTGGAATAGCATTTCACATGACTTTAAAAGTTGAAATACATTTGTTTATTAAGATGTAAAGCACAAACCGAAACAGATGTTCTGCTCTATTAAATAAACTTGAGAAATGGGTCAATAAAACCATATTAATATAGTTTATGAAATGTTAATATGTTTGTAATTCTTCTTGCAGGCATTCATGTCAATGTTTCAGATTCTCACACAGGAAGGATGGGTGGATGTCATGGATCAGACACTGAATGCTGTAGGACATATGTGGGCACCAGTAGTTGCTATTTATTTTATACTGTATCATCTTTTTGCTACTCTGGTAAGTCTTCACTTGCAAATATGCTGTGCGGCTCTTTGTTTTGAATTATTCTCACAGCTCTTGTCTTACTTATTTTTCTCAACAAGTTAAAACTGATTGTGATGCTCATTTTCAGTGTAGAGGGCTTTAGGATTAGTTCTTTGATGTGGTAGAATTTACCCTTCAGCCATGTGGTGTAAGGTGATGGCCTTTGTTCTGGTGTGAGGTGTTGTTCCTCATAAGATCCAAGTCACACTGCTAGACTAACAGTGTAATTGTTAACTGTCTTGTATCTTCACAGTTCTAATGATTGCAGAGTTAAGCAAGTGCTTTTATTTATCATGTAGAAGTGGTCTCCTTAGTTTCCATCACATTCGCTTTGCACCAGTAATTAAAGTGAGAAGTGTAAAGCTTCAGGATATAAACTCTTAACTAGAAATCAGTACTTTCCTGTTGCCTGATGCAAAATCACTGCATGAAAAATATATTATATAGTATATCAGGCAATAAATGGATGAGAACTAATACAGCAGTTCGTGCGTGTGTATGGAAATGGGGATTATATCTAAAAAACCATGTTTTCTGTATGCATTTCAAATGGGATGATTTCATTTTTTAATAGAGATAATGGTAAGGAAAACAGCTTTCTGGATATCCTACATCAACAAGGACTTGGTACTGTATTTTGAATACCAACAGAGAGAAAATACCACAGTCAAGGGAATAAACATTTTACGTACCCTTAATTGACTCCTGCTTTTGCTCATTTTGTATTTTACATTCACTGCACTGCAGTTTTTGATGCACTTGTTTTCACATTCTTCATTCCATTTTCTTTCTTAGCTCAGTTGTCTACTTGTAGAAGGTACTAACTGTATTTATACAATCTCCATCAGCTTCCATCTACTTCTTTTTCTTTACAATATGTCCTGTTTCACTTCTAAAGACTGAATAATCCGACTGTGATTGTGACTACAGCAGGTTCCTTCATATGGATTGAAATCTTGACCACTTTATAAATGGCAGTAAAGTGCATTTGATGCTCTTAGAGCTGCTTAACCAAATTAAAGTATAAGCCAAACTAACGTATGTATCAGCAGATATATAGGACCTGTAATTTGCTCGCAATGGTCAGAGGAGTCCTTGGGGTCTGGAAAAGCAACTTTTCATGCTGAAGTGATATTTAAAAGTCCTTGGGAAATGGGGAAAAGGGAAGTGTGTTTTAGTTATGGATTTGAAAGCAGTTACTGGTTAGATAATCTTATTGCTGTTTTTCCGATTCTTCGCCAAGAACATTGCCTGAACTGGAATCTGTTTTTATCTCTTAGATGAGCATTAAGCAAGTCCATAAAGTAAATTAGTGTCAGGTGGTCTTCTGTGCTGAAAGTTCACACCTTAATTGAGAAGTAACTTAGCTGTAAGAGCAATTTCATTGTTCTGCTTTATGTTTCACATTTTGAGTCATCTGGGACTTCTCCATTTGTTTACTCAAAGCACTTATTTTGCTAGGAGCAAAGTCACTTTTCAGTACACCATCATCAGTCCTTTTACACGGAATTTTCATTTAAGTACACAGTCCTTGCTTTGCTTCATAAGTGTACACATTTCTTCTCATGCATCTATGCAGATTTTACATGGATGAAGAAACTCTGCTAAGACGACTTTGCAGAATTACCTGGCCTTACAAAGTTGTTAGTTTTGGTTCTAAGATCTTCCTAATACCCTGGAAAAGAAAAGCTGTGTAGGAGAGAGTTGAGGCAAAAGAAGCTTAAAGAAAGAAAATAATGTGGAATTGGTAAAGGAGCATGAAAACGGTTGGGCTGCTGCTAAAACTAAAAAGAAAAGTTCTAAGAATAAACAGCCATCGGTGAATAACAAGAGTGAAGTCAAATGAATAAATGACTTTCACCAGCCAGAAGAGGGGGGAGGATTAGAATTGAGAAGTGATAATTGCAGACATTTGGCAAAGCAGACTGCAAAGCCTTGGAAAGAAATGAATAGGCTTCACATTAGAAGGCAAAGAAAAGTCGAAGCTCAAAAAACAAAACCTCTGTTGGAAATGAGGACTGTTATTAGTTGAGATCGCAGCGGAGGATGTTAAACAAATAATGAGTTTGCGTTTAACTTTTCTTTTGTGGTGCATCGTCTTTGGTTCTTGCTGAAAAAAGTGAGAAGGGAGTTAATTGAAGTCTTGATGCCTTGATACATATCTGTGCATGAAGCAGCAAGACTGTAAGGGGTTATGTGTTTAATGAGTACTATACATCTTTGTAGTGTGGAACTGTACTTCCTTAGCTAGTATGCTCTGAACTGTGGGTACTGGAGTGTCATAGACCGTATAATAGATATGAAGAAAAAAACCCAGCATAATGTAAAATCCTGGCAGAATAATAGTAAAACTTTTTATCAGCAATTAGGCATTGAAGTAGTTTGTGCGAGGGATTATGTATTTTATCAGAATTCTGTCTTGCTTTGCCATTTTGAAGGCTGTCTTAACTTCCACCATTCATAGTAGTCAGTTCGTTAAAACTGTATGAGGTACTGTTAAAGTATGTGGCATATATAATATACAGCTGCAGGGAATCCTGCATATTGCTAAAGCCAGTTTCCTATTAAAAGAACATTTCTATCTCTGAACACTGACATTTTATAAATTTATGGGTAAGAGTCCTTCCTGTGTCTTCCATACCTTTATAGTTCATGAAGGGAAAGGGAATCTGTCTGTGGAACAAGGTCCAGACGCCCAGCTCAAATGCAATTTGAGTTCCAAACTCCTTGACTGGTGTACTAAGCTACTTAAATTTCATAGATCAGGAATAATTTTCCAGTGTGATTGAATGACAGGTAAACTTACACTTCATTTACAACAGTGGTAGACAGGTATGTCTGCTCTGGTTGTCACTCAGTGGTCCAAGACCACAGAAAAATTTTAGGCTTGTAACTCTTTTAAAAGACTTTCATTTCCTTCTCATATCTCTAGGAAATTGATTCTTGCCTGTAGGAGCTCAGTATGTTTGAGGATATTTGCCTTGAACCTCATAGACTAAAACCTTGGCGGTTGCTGACAGCTGTAAAAAAAAAAAAAAAACCTAATTAAAAATTTAATGCCTTAAGATGTAAATTGTCTGAGAATATATGCTGAACAGTGATATCCTCCCTCGCCTACATCCTTGCCCTCCTAGTTCTCTCTCCTTCTCAGTTATATCAGTCACATTTTCAGCTTCTTTGGCCTCTGGTCAGTATTTCAAGGAAAATACAACAATCTGGTACATACGTTTTTTCCCCTAGGATTCTTCCTCCTAGAGGCATATTTACGCAATATTTAATGTGGAGTAAATGGAAGTGCATGGGTTTCCTGAACTGTGGCTCCCAATGCATGCAAATAATGAGGCAGCTTATTTTCTTTCAATGTGGAGTTAGCTACTTTGCACAGAGGCACTCTGAGCAGTGAGCAAGTCCATAAAGAAAGCTAGTGTTAGGTGGCCTCTGTGCTAAAAATTCACACCTTAATTGAAAAGCATCTTAGCTTTGAGAGCTGTTTTAGGATTCTGCTTTGTGTTTCTTTTTATTATTATTATTTCTGATGAATTTAATTTTATTTACACAGTAAATACATTTTGATGTGTATATTGTTAAACATGCATAATGCATTGGTCATAAAACCTAGAATTCAAAATTTTTGAATTCTTATAGTAATTGTGAGATAAACAAAAAAACCCACAATTTACTACTTGGAAAATGGGTAGCAGACATATAGTGGGAGGTGATATAAGTTCAACAGATTCCAAAGGCAAGACTCCCATTTACATTGTAGGGCCCTCATTTTTCCATGCCATTTCATAGTACTTCTTAAGAAAAATGTCAAGCTTTAACAAATAATTTGCAATTATTTTGTAGATTCTGCTGAGCTTGTTTGTTGCTGTTATTTTGGACAATTTGGAACTTGATGAAGATCTGAAGAAACTTAAACAAGTAAGAATATGTTTTTATTGTACTTGGAAGTAGTTTCAATAAAATGTTACTGGTGGTTTTGTGGTAAAAGATGTGAAAAATCTTCATCAAAATTAACGGAACAGTAGATGTTGAAGAGAATAGCAGTATTTTGTTAGATAGTTGACCATCATATAACGTGAGGTAGAAATTAAGAGGTTGTAAAAGAGATTTAGAAATTGGTTTAAAGATTCGATAAAAGTCATTTTAGATGATAGTAATCTAATTAAAATAATTTTCAAATCACAGCTAGGCCATCTTTTTGCTTATAAACTAGTGAAAGGTATCCCTGCCCATGGCAGGGGGGTTGGACTTGATAGTCTTTAAATGTCCCTTCCTACCCAAACTGTTCTATTTGCTACTTCATGAGCACACCACAGCACCGCTGCAGGCGAGAGTACTGGCAGGAGTCCACAGACAGGAAGCGGTAGAGGGGACTGGGTTGAATGTGTTAGGTCTGAGGGCTAAAGACACTTGGCAAAGTTAACTTGCTTGATTCACCAGATTTGGGGATCAATATTACCAAGAAGCCATTCTCGCATGCTCGAAACCCCAAATGACAGTCACTAGAGCTAATGTTAGCCCTTCTGACCTCATGCACAAACCACCGGAGAGGAAGGTGTCTGTAGCTTTTACGTAAATATATATATGGCTGTGCTTTAGTCTGTGCAAAGAGGAGGAAAACCATCAACATTTGCCTATTTCATGCACGAAACAGCAAATCGAGAGCTTAATATGTGGGAACCTCTTTTGTAATATTTGGGTTATAGCCTTCTTTCACCCATTGTTTACTGGTTTTGTTAATCTTTCAGGTGCAGCAGCGGTTGTTGTAGAATTATTTTCTTTCAGTTATTGAAAAATAACCACCCAGACAATTTAGTGATTTTACATTGAGCTATTACATTGAAACTAATGTGCCAAATAAGTCCCTTATTTTTCCTTCTATATTATTTTTCTTTTAGTTTTAAAGCTGAAGTGATGTGTTTATTCATTTATTTTGTTTATATTTGTTGTGCTCATTTTCTACAAGCTTCTCATTTGTGGATTTAGAGATTGTATGTTTCATGTACGCTCACTGAATATGTAGAATGTGTCAAACTAATATTGCTTCCCAATCTTTTGTTACTTCAAGGCACTCAGAATATTATATAGTTACTTTAAATTCTTCTTTATAGAATTCAGTACAGAAATCAATATTGGTTTTGCTGTTGCAGTATTAAATATCAGTATGTATTGCAAACTTGAAATAACTTAAAAGAGCAGGATTTTTCTGCCACAGAGAAATACAAATAATGGATTTCAGTTAGTCAGCTCACATATGTGAAATAAAAGATCTTATAAATGATGGCCAGACAGTCTTGAGTATGCAAACTGAGTAAATCAAATCAAGTTTATTAATTTTTCTCCTTAGCAGTCTCAAGAGGTAAAATGATCTGAAATGAAAATGGTTCAGATACATGGTAAGCAATGTCATATCATACTGATAATCTTACATGGAAATTTTCATAATGTCTGCATGAGTAAGGAGCACAAATCAACTTTCTTAAGTGAAGAGCTTAAGATTTGAAAACTGGCTTTTCTGTGAAACTTAGCATCTTCAATTCATAAACCGCTTTAAAAGTGTGCACCTTTGCTCGTGAGATGGCAGCAGCATGGCTTTGTGTTTTAACAACCCACTCTGGAACTAATGAACAAAAAGAAATTAGGAGAGGCCACCACTTGCAATGCTTGCCACTTGTTTTCAGTTAGCCTGACATCTTGTTAGCCTCGCAGGAATCTTGTCTCCGTAATAGCAGTTGAGCACACTCAAGTGAAAGACCTAAATAGAATTTAAAAAAAAAGTCCCCCAACTTCATAGCTTTGAGACTGGCAGCAGCATAACTACCTGAGTGTGGTGCCGGGACGGAGTAAAACCACTGCCTGAGTCACCAGACCTTCTAGCTACCGTGAAGTGTGGCACCATGATGACATTGGTAGTCTGTTCGCATGACCCAAGTAGGTGTTTAACCAGAGAACAGCACTTTGCCGTTGGACATATGAGTTTGATTGACTGGCATAATGGTATATGCATTATATACCATTATGATGTATCAAAATGTCCAAGGTGGCTGACGCAGGTTCACTTGTGTTTATACTTTTGAAATGTGGCTTTGAACAGTAGTCTTTCTTCAGAAACTATTACTCAGTACTATTGACTGTTTTCCCTTCTAGTATTTTATCCAAACAAATTAATGTTATACAAAGTGTTGCATGTTTTTTAAATGCCTAAAGTGAAAGGAGGTAAGAGGTAGGTTCTTGGAGCTGGATCATATGGAATTACTGGAATGATTGGACAACTGATTGTCTAGAACAGAAAAGGTTTCCTGGGGGATAAATGTGATGGTGCCACAGGCTCAGTGGTGATAGTGACTGTGCACTATTACACTGAAATATTGGTTGTCTTATCTCAGAAGATAAAGCAGAAAATGTTTTTAATTCAACAATATTTTGAATTTTCCACTAAAAAAAATGGACCAGAAGAAAGAGGATTGTGAAGTAATTGTTTGGTTTTAATCAAGACAGTTTCTGTGAAGGAATAGCTCTATATTGCTGCACAGGATAATTTTTTTACATCTATAATTAAAAGCTGAATGGTGTTCCAAGGGAGGAGTCACATAATTCAAACTGTTAATGTAAAATACATTGTTTGGTTGAGAATGGTGAAGCTGTAATGCCCTCAAATGTATTTCCATCCTCATGTTTGCATTTTTTCCCTACCTTTAATGGCTGTAAAGCTTGAGGCCCAGCGCATTTACTGGTGATGAAATATTGAATGCTTTTCCAGGAAGGGAGGAGAATATATTTAGGACAGAAATTACACCTAGCTAATAATCCCTTTTGGGATATGTCCTTCTTAATTAGGACTTAATTCCTTTTCGTGAACTTTATAAGAAAAATAATATTACTTACCTTTCAGATGATTGGGAAAGGACTAATTAGTTAATATTTGCAATGTACTCTAAAATGTAACATGATATGTAAACATTTGGTATTCATGTTAGTGCAGTAAATGTGTTTAAATATGAATAAATCAAAGCAAAAATACATTAAATGACTAGGAGATTATAAGTAAGATTGCAAGATAATGTATTTAAAAGCTAGTAAACTTTTAGAATTAAATTTGCCAGTGTAAATCTAGTTAAGGATATACATCGTGATTCGGTTTTTAATTATGTCATTATATAATATTCTTTCCAGAAGTTTGGCCTCCTTTAGTGCAAAGAGTAGATAGAGCTCACTTTAATAAGCCAGTAGTCGATATTTTTTCTCTTTATTGTACAGTGTGTGATCCCTGTGCATTATTTATTACACAGTATTGAAGCTTTTCTACAAAGACAAAACTATTAATCTCCTTCCTGACTTTTTTTATGGCACCCCTGATAAGTATCTAGAACAAACATAAAATTTGTAAAAGATTAATTTAAGTGGTTTACTTAGCACCACAGGCACACGTAGGAATAGAATATGTTTTTCCAAGACACCATTCAGCTGGTTTAAGAACAGAATCATTCTTTGTATTCTTACAGCTCTGTTCATTTGCAGTACATCTCCAATGTTCTGACACTTGTCTCATCCTCTCTGCTTTGTCTGCTGCGGTAGCTCAAGTCAAGTGAAAAGGGGTTGTACTATAGCTCATAGTCACCTTCTGTCTGTGCAATAAACTTGATCTTCTGCAGCAATCTGGACTGACCCTAACACATTACTTAACCTCCAAGTATGCGATTGATCCTGCTCATCTTCCCATGAGGCCCCTTTCTGTGGTGTTCCGTGCATCAGTTATGCAAATGGTATCAATCTTAAGGCACAAGAAATCTATCAGCTACAATCTTAACTTCCTTCTCTTTTATTCCTGTCTTCTGCGCCATCTCCATGAACTGTTGCCCCAGGGTTAAAAAGAAACTGAAAGGATTTATTTGATTTCTTTCACCTTTTGTGATAAAGTTTGGACTTTCTATTTAGAAATTCAGCTACCTCACATGAGTTGAGTTATTGTTATCCAGATGTTGTTTGACTCCTTCAAAGAAATCCAACAGATTATGAAGCATGACTTTCCTTTACAGCAGCTGTGTCAACTTTTCCCATTATATTTTCCACGTATTTACTAATTCTATTATTATTAAATTTCTATCAGTTTGCCTAGATATGATGTCAGACTGGTTAGTTTCTAATTTCCCATGCTCTATCCTGAAACCCTTTTTTAAAGTTAGTCACATTTGCCAGTTTCCTTTCTCTAGCTACTGAGTTGATTTAGGGACAAGTTATTCACCACTGCTAGTATCGTCAGCGTTGTTATGTCTGAGATCCTTTAGAAGTCTTGAGTGAGTGTTATCAGGTCTTGGAAAGTAACAAATTGACCTTGTGTCAGTTATCTTCCAAAAGCTTTTCTCTTGACATTTTTGTTGGAGATTAGTCTTCAGCACAGTTTAGGGTCTTCTTTGACCTCTTCTGTGGTTGACACAATTAATTTTGCTTTCTTGCTTTCATTTTAGTTTTCTGAACACTCTCTTTTAATAGTCTATTACTCTTTTAAACTCTGCAGATCTTACTGCTTTCGGTAAGATTTTATTTCTTTTGAAATTAGTTCCTCAAAATCTTTGTTTTATAAAAAAGTTGCCAGAATTTATGCTTTTGTCTCTATTCTTTGCTTAACATATGGCTTCTTTTTCTGAAACATATCCATTTAATTTTAAAAGCCTTCTTTGCACTCCGGTTGACATTGCTGGCTTTTCTGACCTCCAGGTTTTTCTGTAGGTGGTAGATGTATTCTGTGCTTCTAAAACAGCATGTTTAAAGTTAGTCCATACACTTCCCTCCCAGTTTCTGTTGTTTGGCCATTCCTTTAAATTTATTTTCAAAAGTTTTATGATTTTATGTAACTAATGTTTTAATTTAAATTCAATGTAGTAGTTGGTTTTGACCTTCTAATTGTAAAAAAGTCCTGA